TGAGGAGAGCTGGATGGAAGAAGGCAAATAAAGAGAAAGGAGGAATGTAAAGCGCGTTTAAGATGGGAGGAAACCTCTCTTACCGAGAGTTCTTCCATTCGCAAATCCTGGTGTTGACGTCGGATAGAAAGGTGGTATTAACATCGGTGTTTGAAATGCTTCTTCTAGAAATTGTGTGACCAAAACATTAATGACGAGGAGGATAGATAGAGGGAAAATCAAAAGTATGACAATGTATCTTGAATAAGGAATCGTATCAAGTTTCCCGAAGTTTCACTGCTAACGGTAGTGTAATCCTAAAGCCAGAAAAACAGAAAGAGGGAAAGCAAAGCTGAGGACCAGTAAAATATTAACAGTCGACAAGTCAAGTGAGTTATGTAGCAACTGACTTGACGCCAGCATCAACAAAGGATGGCCGCACTAAGAACGAAATAAAAAACATTAGCGAGACCACAGAAGACTATAGACAAAAATAGATTCTACTTGCTCAAGACTTCTTGCTTCCTCCTCAAAGGTGTCGCCTTTGCTAACGACGGTGACGCTCTAGATGTTGACAGAGAAAGTTGTTCGAGCTTTGCTTCTAGAAGTAGTAAGGGGACCGTGAGCAAATTAAGTTCCTTAAAGCTCAAAGTAAAGAATTTCAAATACCCCGTTCTGAAGGAAACGCTGCAGAGACACCAGGAATCTTATCAACCACAAGCCTAATGCGCCTAAGATTATAGCCATTCTGGTTTTGCAAATAGAAGGCTCCAGGGACTGGAGCGTGTTGCAGTGAACTTTGTAAGAGGTTAAAGGTCAAATGAACCAACAGAGCCGTAAACCAACACTTACAAAGCAGCCAGTCTAATCACACAAAGACCAATTGAACAGTAGTGCTAAATAAATAAAATAACGTGGACTAAAATGCATGACTTATTTACCGCAATTATTAGGCGTCCTTGTTTGACCGGTGGCAACCAGAAAGGATGAAAATGAGCACTTCTCACAGTTCGAATCTAAAAGGGGATTGTAAAAAGCTCAGACATCAAAAGGAACCACATCCAAATTACACGACAAAAAGACAAATAAAAGGAATGCTAACAAGCAAACAACTACGGAAAACCATGGCGGGAACAAAAAATAAGCAACAATATCCGTTTGCAAGAAGGTAGAGTACCTTCAAGATCAATCACGGGGGTAATCGAAGGAAAAGTGGCTTCCAGAAGCTACATGTAGAGAAATGCCGATTAGCAAAAACTGGCAGTCAAACCTCAAAGGTACGATTGGAAACAGACGAGTCATCGGTAAGGCAACCATCCCCGCAAGCTTCGGAGCTCATCCCAATATACGGCGGCAAAGATGTACCGAAGCGCATTAGAACAAAAACAGAGAAAGAGTGTATGGTCTTCACTAAACTTCGCTTAAAAAAGGAATTTTACAATAAAAACTTTAAACGAAATGCCAATTATTCGAAGTCGTGCATGTATTTGTTTATGAAATTGTCTAAGGCTGCTGTTCTACCAAAAAATGTATTCGGCCAAGGTATAATACTTACCGTAACATCTTGTTTGTTCGATTGTCTACATTCTCAGCAGACACCGTGACATTCATCTTGAACTAATCCAAGTACGTCGATACTCAATTCGAACCATAACCCGCCCTCTTCACCCTCCCTTTGGCTAAGAGCATTCGACTCCAATTAGTTGCCTCTTCAAGCAAATGAGAAGACTTTTACGGTTGTCGACTTTTTAGTTTGTCTTGGTCTGGAGCTTCTTTTTGGCATTATTAAGGCTTACACTAGGTAAGAATTTAATGAGGGCAATGGTCAATTGTAGAGATTGACGTCTCATCTACAGGTTTCCTGAACACCCAGGCCAAAACTGATTATTGCTTTCCACCTCTATGAGTCATTGACGCAGAATATTTGACATCTGCCCTTTCGTGACAGACATGCGTGGCAAAAAGGAATTGCGAATTCTTTTAGATGGAGAATTTATCCACTCAAAGAGTTTGAAATTCCGCCTCATTTCCGATTTTGCAGGCAAAATATTAGTAATTATGTAGGGTTCCGAGACTTCCCATAGCGTGCAAGAAGGCAGTAAGTGACGATGGATGCATGTATTCTGAAGACGACGGGGCAAATAAGCCTCACGAGTGCAAGGTCAAAACAGATCCTAAAGTGACCGCCGAACCTCAAATAGCCACACAAGCAAAGTATTACACTGCCTCTCTCTCCTTTTGAGTCCCGTCCTCGGCTCTATCTCCTCGTACACCTCCCGTGTCAGCCTTCACACCATATTCGGTACTATAAGAATGCACTCACGACCCACCCGCGCCAGTCAACAAATACCGCGAAATTAAGGAAACGTTCTTGGCCTCCTCGACAACTTCAAGTATACCTGGAATTACGTTCGGTCTGACAACCAGATTCATGGTTGCATACACCTGTTGACCATCAATTGCTTCCAGGACTCGATGGTGCAACTCTGGTCTAAAACAGATGTGTAATAGTGAAAATGGAATGAGCTACTGCCCGGTATGTTAGGAGAACCTTGGTGTCTTTTTCGGCACCTGAACACGGAATTTGTAGGAGAAATTCCGACAAGGATAGTTTCCGGATGGTTCACAGTGGTGTTGTTCCAGTTGCTAATAGCTTTTCTGTGGAACACAGGGATAGGGTGAAACAAATGCAGACGTCACTCTTAACCCTTTCATTGCGAGGGATTCGATGATTCTCCGTCACCGATGCAAATGCGTCTCCTCCACTCCGTAGGTAACTGTCGATAAACAGTACGTGCTAGGATAGAGGTCATAAAAAAATTGTTGTGTTCACTTTCCGCTGCCACCAGTGTAGCATCTCGAGACTTCCCATTGGATGAAAGAAGGCAGTTAGTGAGGCTGGATACATGCACTCCTGAGGGAACAGAGCAAATGGACCTAAGCATGGCCCGAAGGCCAGTCCACCAGTACAAGGGATGGCCGAATTCCAAAGTGACCGCTATACGTCAGGTAGTCATACAAACAAAGCATTGAGGTAACAATCTAATATTTGGCGGTTATCCTAAGATTCGTCTGGCCCGTATATGGGTAAGCCGGGCTTTGGACTACGCTCAGGCCTAATTACTTTGTATGCCTTGGAATACATGTATTTAACTCCACTTTCTGCTTCTTCTACCCTGCGGAAACCTCGAAATACTGCAGCAAAAGCTAACATTACCTTTATAATTGCTGATGTATGCAATCAGCGATTCTTGAATCCGGTTGCGTATTTGTGAGCGAGTAAGATTGTATTGCTCGCATCGTCCACTATGCCTTTACAACCTATTGTGCAATGATTGATTTCGGGATCTGTGTCGAACGTTGAGTACTGTTCATACTATTATCAAATTTAACTGTTTTTTAAGAGCGTCTTAACAAATTCTAAATAACTATTAATCAGATTTGAGGTTTTTCGTATGATATTTGTTGCATAAACCTAAATTTATAGATTTTACGTGTCAAATTTAAAAACCTTCCTTTGTGAGCGCAATTTCATCATTACCAATTACTTTGTTTTGTTTTGTTCGGCACTGTATGACCTAAAACACCAACACCAATCGTTTGTTTTGACGGTGCATTTCACTTACTTGTGTTAGTGTGTTGGAGTCGAGTGTCTTCTCTGCTATTATGGAAGAAAGCAGCGTTAAAGTTGATTATGGCATTCACTCGTCTGTTCCGCCACGTCCGTCTAAAAAAAGGAGCTTTGTTAATCTTCTGAAGAAGTTTTTGGATAACAGTTCACGTAGTCAAACCGATTGCGTGTCAACTCTGAATTTTTACCGAAAGAGTTGTGCAATTGCCTCTGAAAGCGATAAGAAAGACAGGGGCAATAAAAGTGTTCTTGAAAAAGCGCGCAAAATTTCTTCAGTCACTAAGTCTATGGAACCACTTGAAATTTCTCATCGCAAAAAATCAATGCAGACGGACGCGATTCCTAAATTAAGTACACCATCGGGTCTGGAGAATCTCGGAAATACGGTCAGTATTCTATGCGACTGTGATGATTTTCTATTTTTCAAATAGTGACACAATCGTCCTCCTTTTTAATTTCAGTGTTACCTCAACGCCATTTTACAGTGCTTAAGGTCAACGGAACTTGTTCGTGACTATTGCGACACATATGACGATATCTCTAGCAAGCAGCTTAGGTTGAATGGTAATTTATTTCCAAGTAAGCCAGTTATTTACTTTGTCATAAATTCGGTGTCACGACTAATTTACTATTTAAGTACATTTCCTTACTAGCTTTTGCCGCTCTGATAAGAAAAATGGAGTTAGTAAACAATGGAAGAATTGGATCAAGTACAATACAGAGATTCAAAGATGAATTTACGAAATTCGTCCCTTGTTATGGTGGAAATCTGTAAGTGACCACTTTTTGGATTGTTTACCATTGCATGCTACCTTTGTGGTATCCATCAGATGCCGGAAAAATCAGCAGTAGAAGATAGCAGAGTTTGTTGTGTAAGGAAAAAAAACAGACTCACGTCTCTTGCGTTATGTATTTTCGCACTGCTGATCTGAACTCTATGTTGAATAAGGTGTGGTAAGTCGATGATCCTTAATTGTTATCGTTCATACAGACAACAGGACGCCTCCGAATTCCTCACTTACTTATTGGACGGACTGCATGAGGAGACAAAGGAGCGTCCACAAACTCCCACTCCCAATGAATCAACCCTAACGAGGCCGATCTCGACTGTGGCATCACCACCAGCATCTATTGTGCCAGCTAAATGTGGGCGGCGTTACAAGCTGCGGATGGGTGGACTCAAAAATAGTGAGAGCAGTGGAAAACTAAATGCGGCCATTGGCAGGGATGCAGAAGCGTGGCCCGACACTACCACTTTTTACCAGTCCAAACCAAAACGGAAGATGTCAAGGCTGCGTCGATCACAGGTACGCGCCGTGTCAATCAGCCGTGTTGACAGCCTCCGTCTCGATGACCTCTGTCAGCCTGGCCTGTAAGTCTGCAATTTCCAGACCATAACAACCCCTTGTTTTCCTCTCTTATGAGTTTGCCCTACTTTTTAACTTATTTCACCCCTGTTGTTGTTCACACAAAGTCCTTTAAAATTCAATTTAGCCAGAATACAAGGACCAGGATTATTGTACCTCCTTCCTAATATATCTTCCTCCCCTCCCTTCCCATAGCGGCTC